ATCGTCATCGTCACCGTCACCGTCACCGTCACCGTCACCGTCACCGACACCGTCACCGACACCGTCACCGTCACCGTCACCGTCATCGTCACCGTCATCGTCATCGTCATCGTCATCGTCATCGTCATCGTCATCGTCACCGTCTCCGCCTCCGCCGCCACCGCCGCCACAGCCGTGTCGCGGTCGCGTCTCCTGGGAACGCCTCCTCGCCACAGTTCTCGGCTGCCACGCCCGCCCGCGCACAAATGGCGTGAAAGAAAAAATCCACCGCGCCACGGCGATCGCCACTAATCGGGCATGTCTGCCGATCGCTCGCAGTCATTCGTGTGAACGCGGGAAGTGTGTCTAGGATACACTGTCTTGAAGGAAAGCATTACGCTACGCTTACGCTACACCTTATACGAGCTATATTTCTTTTGCTTTTCATAAAGGATATGAAAAACTTGTAAGTGCGGATATCCGCTTTTAAAACTTTCGCGGATATTCACATTTCATGGTTCTATGTGACAGGAAACCGTTTCCGGAAGCCTATTCGATCAAGCATAACTCACGTAATTTCCTTATGATTCGGATTTGTAGAATTTCAAATATACTACTGGTAAATTCTATTAAATACGAGATGAAAGGAATAACATGAATGTCCCATTAATTTTTGAATAATTTAAAATGATATGGCATGTTTTCTTTTATAACTATAATGTTATTTAGCTGTATATATATACATAATATATATATATATGTATATATATAACGCTATTAAATATCAAAATATGTTATTATAAAAGAATCCAAATGTTTTTTCTGATATTAAACTTCCAATAACTCACATTTATTGATACATTGTGATGCACGCCTTCCATAGAATGTGAAGGTTAATAATAATAATAATAATAATAATAACAACAACAATACCCTAATATTTTGCACTCCCCTTTAATTCCTAGAAAATTAAAGAAGACGAAGAGCGCTTCTTCATTCCTTGGTCATTCGATTGATACTCGCATGGAGCGGTCGCGGTCGCTTACAATTGGCTGACGAGGCCCGCGAATGCGTGGTAGCGCTCCTTGCGCCAGCCCGTTTGCGGAGGCGAGGTCGATGCGCGGCCGCACGACGAACCCAAGCGGATCTATTGGGGCTGTTCCACAATGCGCGCGGGAATTGCCCCCGGGAGATGCGCTACGGTGCGGGAGAAGCGCACGCGGTCCGTTTCGTAAGAGAGGCCCTACGGCGCCAGTACCCCTGGGGAAGGCCGCCACTAACCCAGTTCGCAACTCCGCTCACGCTCGCTGCGGTCGGAGAGAAAAACGCCACAAACCGCAGATGCTGTCCCCTTCAATCGTGAGCGCGTTCTCATTAGAGGCCGTTTTGTTCACATAAAATAACCCTGTTTCGGGCCTTGTGTTTAGGTCTCTACTGTTAAAGAATTATTCTGGTTTTTGTTTTTAAAGATTTTAAATATCAAAATTTGGAGATGAAGCCAGAAAGTGGTCTTAATAAAAAATGCTATTAGTTCTCGTTGAATTGACAAGCTCTTTTGGGGAGAATTTTCGAGAGATGGAGAATGAATAAAGTGCTCCTAATAAAACCCTTTTATAACTTTTTGTACAATGCTTGCGCTTTTGATTATTTGGTTTCCTGAAAAAGAGAATATGTAACACACATGTCCCCAGTTACCTTCCATACATGTTTTCCGATCTTACATAAAACTAAACAATAATCGTGCACACTGATCGTTTAGTGTTAGGGTCGGATTGTTCTGACTTCTGTCAGCTTGGGGTGTTCCCAGGTCTAGGCCCTGTTTTTGTTTGTTATCCACAGCTGTGGGTAAGGGAAACATGTCAAGATTACGACAAAGTGCCATTGCCGTACCTACCTTAATTGACATGCCTGAGCTCTTTGTTTCATCACACAGCTTTAGAAACTAACACGATTTGTGAAAGTTACACCTTTATCTTTGCCCCGACCGGGACACGAAACTGGGACCGTTTCGCAGAATGCTGACATGCTGCTCACCCGACGAGCTGTTTTTGTAAACTACTTTTAAACTGCTTTTGACAGGTACAGTGTTGGTGTACAACTTGAAATCATGCTCTTATGCATTAAAGGACTTTGAAAACAACATTGAAGAGCTGCAACTTGTTTCGTTTAGCTACAGCTGGTGTTAAATCTTCAAATCTTAATTTCTGAATTCTCGCGCACCAACGCTCTCTCAATGAAGCAATTGTCTCTTTCTCTTTGCAGATGGCGGCGACAATCGATGCTTCCTGGAGAGCGGGGGCTCGGCGGAGAGCTTCTTCGTCAGTGAAGATATGCCGGTGGGAGCTGTCATTGGTAAGTGGGAATTAGCACCTGATCGAACTCCCCTCATGGACAGAAAAGTGCTGGAATTTTAGAAATGTTAGTGACAAATAGGAACGTGTGACGGTGTGAAGGCTGTCGTGAGACGGCTCTCAGCCCTCCGAGTGACACCGCGTCGAAGGCAGTGATATTGACGTTTGGACCATCATGTCGTAGTCTTCTTCAGGGCTATAGGATGGTGCGCCCTAGTGCACTATAATGGTATGCGCTCGGGTTTATATGTGGCTGTGTAGTGACCGTCTTTTGGTTGGATGCTTGGCCTGCCCAATTAGACTTGCCGTGCAGAATAATTTGACCAGATTGGAGGGGAACAGTGAATGTTCATCATATACTTTGGTTTGGTGTTCTCTTTGAGACAATCGAAAAACTTTTCTTAA